AAGACTGTCCCATGACCCATCCCATGCATTCCATAGGGGGGTTCTAGTCATTTTCTCCTGTGACCCCTGCAATGACCCTGACAAGTGGGCAGGTGTGGAGTCCCGATCTTCATAGTATTTATAAGAAAGAGGGGACTCAGAGAGCCATAGGTTTCTGTGAGGTTACACAGCAAGGTGGAGCTGGGACTGATTTTTATTTTTTTTTGGGGGGGGATACCAGGGATTAAATTCAGGGGCACTCAACCACTGAGCCACATCCCCAGCCCTATTTTGTATTATATTTAGAGACAGGGTATCACTGAGTTACTTAGCATCTCACTGTTGCTGAGGCTGGCTTTGAATTCATGATCCTCTTGCCTCAGCCTCCTGAGCCACTGGGATTACAGGTGTGTGCCACCATGCCTGGCCTGATATTTTTTCCTCTCCCTTTTTTTTGTACCAAGGATTGAACAGGCACCTAACCAACTGTGCGCCACAGATCCCTGGCTAGGGCTGATTTCTAGTTGTGTATGAGCTCAGGTTTGACAACCAATGCTCTACCCAAGTGAAAGGCCCCCAGCTTGGGCCTGGGTTCAGGAGAGCAGAGGGTGTGGCAATGCAGGGCCTCCCAACCCAAGCCCCATTTTGCTTGTGTCCACAGGTAGCTCATTTCCCTCTCTAGGTCTCAGACCTTCCCATCCAGGCAGGGAGGTCCAGATGTGATGACTTCCAAGGCCTTTGTTATCTAAGGCATCTGACCCTGGCACCCAAACATGCCATGAGGGAGGGAGGAAAGGAGAGAGATGGACCTAGAGGAGGGTAGATCACAGGACCTGAGGTTATAGGGTCCAGCTGGATGGGCAGGATCGAGGAGGAGGAGTTTTATGGTGGAAAAGCAGTGTGGCTTCAGGAAAGTCACTTTCCCTCTCTGAACCTGGTCAAGTAGGTCAAATGTGGTCACCACAAAGATCTTGGCTCACTACAAAGGACAAACATCAGGCTTTTTCTCCTCTCCTTGCTGCTGGCCAGGGTGGCTCAGGCAGCCCATGGGGAGATGTCAGATCAGAACTTGGTCTGGCTGCTTTGGTCGACTTGACCTCCACTGACCCAAGGGAGTTGGAGGGAGGGGCTATCTAGCATAGACAGGCACAGGAGAGCCAGCTTCAGCCAGATAAGGTGACAAAAAGAGCCAGGGTGTAGGAGTCACTAGGTCTGGGTTTGAATCTCAGCTCTGATATTTAGTGGATCTTGGGCAAGTTGCCTAAGACCTCCCTGAACCTTGATGTCTTCCTCTGTAAAACGAGGATGTCCATTAGGGTGCCTGAGGCTGGGACATGAGGATATCAAGGAATGGTGTACAAGCCTTGTGCTCTGAGAGGCAGTGCCAGCTGTAGGCAGCAGACCAAGGACCATCGACCCTTCCCCACCAGCCTGCACCCTTGATGTCAGCCTGGAATCCCAGCTGGAGTGGATGACCCGACCAAGTTGGGAGGAACCTGAAACAAGGCTAAGCAGTGGCTCACTGGCCTGTCCCCGGTGCTGCTCTGCCCTGACTTAATCCTAAGGAGCCCGGGTGTCAGCCCGAATGGCTGAGGGGATTTGCTGCAGTGAGAAGCTGATGAGAACTCAAGGCTAGGGCCCCCAACTTGAAAGCCTGCTTCTGATGTACTCTGCTGCTCACTCTTGTCTCTGGCTGGCAGTTGTCCCAGATTAACTGCTGACATCAGGACCTGCCAGCTGGGGCAAACTGGCACAGACAAGGCAGTATAGGAGGGGTTGTCTGCAAGTGAGGTACAGTCAAGGGAGGGGACATATATCCAGCTTTGGAAAATTGTCCTCCCAGGAGCTGGAGTGGAAGAGGACAAGAGTTAATGATCTGCATTGTGTCAGGCACTGCACATGTTGTCTGCATAGCAAATCCTCTTCACACAGAGTGAAGTTGCTCAGGGGAATGGAGTTTCTTGCCCAAGGCCACATGCTGCCCAGCAGATACCCTTCACTGATGGCAACAGCTGCTAGGACTGGGGGCGACCTCAATCAGTGTAGGTCAGAACATTCTACACCATCATCATGACAGCAGCTGCATGCCCAGGTGATGTGCCCAAGATCATACCTGAAATTGGTGATGGAGGCAGCATTTGAACTTGGGTTGTCCAAAACCAGTGTTTGGACACATTTCAGGTCTATGGCCCTTACATTTCTCCAGGTTGCACAAATATCTGCTTGGAGTGGGAGCATTTGTATGCAGCATTGAAAACACAGTGGGTTACAACAGGTCATTGCTGGGTATAGAGAGACCTCAGGTTGACAAATCTCAGGGAAGGACTTCCTAGCCCTTTGGGTCACATACTCCTTGACTAAATGTGTCTCGGGCTAGGGTCAGAAAGACTACAAGAATGGGCTTGGGGGTGTGCAAGGCTTTCAGCCAGACCTTTCCCTTAGTATATGATGCTTGGGCCCAAAGGTTTTACTCTGCTTAACCTAACTTCTTGGGATCCTGTTCCAATCCTCAGGGACAAGAGACCAGGGGTATCAGGTTCCACTCATCCTGGATCCCTTCATAACTCCTCTCCTTGTGCCTCATTGTTTGGTGTGTTGGGTCGACACTGGATGTATGGATCCAGGTCAGAAGCTGCCTGTAGGTCTCATGGCTGTACACCTAACATGAAACTTGGAGACAAGTCACATCCATTTGCCTTCCTGGTTTCATTTTCAATGCTATCCACAGAGGGGTCTTCCAGAACCCTCCCAGTTCCCAGTCTTTTCCATCATGTCATTTACCATGACCCGCCACTCTCTAGTGCCACTCTCTAACATTCACTGTCAGTGGAAATGAGAGGCAGGCGGCAGGACTGACACGTGACATTTAGTAAATATTCACTGCATAAAACTTCTCCGAGCTTTGATTTCTCATGCATATAATGGGATGACAATGTTCCCCATTAAATTTAAAAACCAAAACAGTGCCCTCAGGTATCCAGTTCAGGACTGGGAAGTAGTAAGTGCTAAGAGTGCTGGGAGCTGGACTGGGGTGAGGACAATCCCAGCTAGGAGAAAGGATTTTGTCAGGAGATGGGCAGCTGGTCAACAAGTTGTATGACAATGCTGTGATCCCAGGGCAGAGATGCTGTTCTGGAGATTTGTTACCCCATCCCTACTCTGGGTACGAATTTTAGTTCTGCTGCTATAATTTGAGACACATCACTTTGCCTTTCTTAGCTTCCTTTAATTTGTAATATGGCCATTTAAAAAAGTCTGCCTTGCGGGATGGGGCTGTAGCTCAGGGGTAGAGTGTTTGCTTAACATGTGTGAGGCACTGGGTTCAGTCCTCAGCATCACATACAAATAAATAAATAAAGTAAAAAAAAATAGTCTACCTTGCCATTCAAATACATCTTTTTCCCCCTCTTACAAACTTATAAATGCTTCCTGGTCCCTCAACCTACAGGGACCAAACTCTAACAATACGCAGCGCAGGGTGGGAAGGCCAGGCAAATTAGCCTTGGTTGTAGAAGGGCAGCTCCAGGTTTAGCTAGAAGGTAGTCACTGCTCCACACACAGGGAGTGGAGGGAAAAGGGATGCAGAGGAGGATGGGACGGGAGAGAGGAGGAACTACCAAGGGTGATGCAGCCCAATTCACTCCCATACTCTGGATGGAAGCAGCTGGAGAGTTCAGGACAGCCTGAGCAGGGGACCCAGGGACCCCAATGCTGAGTCAATTGGCAATGACAACACTGGTGCCCTGCAAGTGGCTGTACCCTCTCTGTGTAATGGTATGTGTAAGTCAGTCTAAGTTGTCAAGGCTAGCCCTGAATTTGGGACCTTCCTGCTTCAGCTTCTTGAGTAGCTGGGATTATAGAAGTGTGCCACTGGGCCTAGCTAAACTTGTCTTTTAGTTATGAAAGTGTTGTGACCAGAGACAGAAAACTTGCCCAAAGGAGAAAAGGAAAAGTCCCAGACTCTCATCACCAGGACCCAACAATTCCAGGGTTTTATTTTTTTTCCAGGGTTTTTATTTATTATTATTTTTTAATTTAAATTTTATTTTTCTGAGCCAGGCGTGATGGCACACACCTATAATCCCAGAGGCTCGGGAGGCTGAGGCAGAACTGTGAGTTCAAAGTTAGCCTCAGCAATGGCGAGGCGCTTAGCAACTCAGTGAGACCCTGTCTCTAAATAAAATACAAAAAGGGGCTGGGAATATGGCTCAGTGGTTGAGTGCCTTCGAGTTCAATCCCTGGTACCAAAAAAATAAATAAATTTTATTTTTCTGGTACCAGGGATGGAACTCAGAGGCACTTAATCACTGAGCCACACCCCCCAGCTCTTCTTATTTTTTTATTTTGAGACTGGGTCTGGTTGTTGCTCAGGGCCTTGCTAAATTCCTGAGGCTGGCTTTGAACTTGTGATCCTTCCACCTCAGGAAACTGAGGTGCTAGGATTACGGTGGGGTACACCACTGTGCCTGGCCCCAGTCTTTTTTTTTTTTTTTTTTTGGTTAAACACAATTGCCATCAAGTATTTGGGAACACTTTTCATAAGCAGTCCTATCTTTCTATTAGTTGTATAGATTTTGTTTTGTTTGTTTGTTTTTGGTACCAGGGATTGAACCCTGGGCGCTTAACCACTGAGCCACATCCCCAGGTCTTTTTTGTATCTTATTTAGAGACAGGGTCTCACTGAGTTGCTAAGTGCCTTGCTTTTGCTGCGATTGGCTTTGAACTGGTGATCCTCCTGCCTCAGCCTCCCACTTCACTGGAGTTGTACAGTTTTATCTGTTCAAATTGCTTTTGGTCTGTGTCCTTCCTCAATGTAAACAGGGCAGGAGGATCATTTGACATTTGAGGAAACTGAGAAACACAGGGATTAGGTGTCCTAGATAAGGGCATCTGGTTGGTGACAAGTTATGCCAGAAATGGGATTCTAATAAAAATTAGGAACTTTGGCCTGAATCTTAGTCTCCAGGCCCACACACAGAGAAAACAAGGAAAGAATGGGAACGACAAAGGCAATGGCAAAATTCTCGTCTCAAAATATTTAATTTTGTTTTGAAAAGGATACATTCCCGGCTTCCCTCCCTACCACATCACTCCGGCCCACCAACAGTGACACACTCACACGCACACACGCACATAAGGCCAATGGGCTGCTCTCTGTTCTGCCCTCTCCAGTTGAGAAGAAGAGATCTTCTCCTTGCCTCCTTCCCCCAACAAAGGTAAAGGAGAAAGGGGGCCCGCTGGAATGCCAGCTCCCAGGGGAGGATGCAGAGCCCCACACACTCTATCACATCACATGCACTTAGAAAAATAAGACCAAGTGGTGTTCTGGCATCCCCAGCACCACAAGATAGCAATCTCCACCTGGAAGTCATCTTTGCCATTTTCTAGAAAAATTTATTGCACTTAATTAACAGGTGTTAAAGGAGCTGGGATGGAGCTTTGCCATGAAAATTAGGAGCTCCTCGGCCCTTTGTGTCATAGGGAGTGAAACTCCAGGGCCATGTGGAGAGCTGCCCAGCACAAAGGGGCCTTTCCCACAGGCTCCCACACTGGCCATCCGGCCTCAGGCTGGAGGACTACACAAGTTGCCTGTTTGGGGGTGGGGGGAGGCGTCTGCAGCAAAGTATGCAGACCTCACAGCACGGTGTGCAGACCCAAAGTTAAAGTTCACTACTAAATGCCTTCCCCAACTGGCAGGAGCCAGACAGGCAAAGCTCTTCCTTTGACAGAGGACAGGATTACCCAGGTCCTCCACAAGGCTGCCGGCTGTCTAAACTTGTTTTCTATATCTAGATTTACATTTATTTTATGTACATTCTTGCAACATTCTAGTTCATTCATGATTTGTCTGTTCTGAGGTTGCAATGGGGTGGCCAGGAAATTGAAGACAAGATGCTCAGGAAGTTGACAACACTTCCTGGCCCAAGGTGAACCCGTGGAAAGACAAGTTTAAGTCAGCTTCTCTAGCCCCCGTGCTAATTTTTAACCCCCCCCCCCAGGTGTTCTCCAGAATATGTCAAAGATCTGAGCACGGGAGCCTAAATCTTCATCACTGACCCTAGAGGAAGAGGGCCCAGGAGGGAGTCAGAGAGACTTCCATCTCCAAGAGCAACTAGGCAGGCACTAACCCTCTTTCTGTAGGGTCTTGGTTCCTAAGCCAGGGGAGAAAACAAGCTTACCTAAGTACTTCTTTCCCCAAAATGTCAACCTCTGGACATGCTCCTTCCTGTTCCTGCCAGGCTCCTAACTTTTAAGGGGCTCTTCTAAAAGTCCAATGACCAAATTCCTTCTAAGGAAGGAACTAGTCATCCTCTGCCACGAAGGAAGAAGAGGAGCGCACTTCACAGATGGCAGGTGGGATGGAGAAGAGACATCAAGCCCCCATCCCACCCCCTGGGGTCCAAACATAGATACAATCCAGAGATAAAGTGTCCATCCTTTAAAAAAAAAAAAAAACTGAAAAAACACAAACCTTATATTGTTCTAGCCAAAGAAAATGAAGAGCTTTTCAGCTCAAGGCTCATCCACCAATAACAAAATGAACTGCCCTCTGGGTGAGCAGCCAGCCCAGAGGGAGAGCGCTGGGCGGGCAGGTGAGCTGCCCGGGCAGGACACGGACATGCTGGATGCAACTGCCCTGTGTGGTCACAAGAGAGTGAAAAGTGTGCACATGGTTTTTATAGAACCACAAAGTGAAAGTCAGGGGCCCAGTGGCGGGGGAGACCTCCCTTGGCCTCAGGGACCTTTGTCAAGTCCCCCGAAGAGGTGGGTGTGCAGATCCCTGGAGGGTCCCCTGGGTGCAGTCCACAGCCAGACAGCTTCCCCGGTTTTAACATCTGTTACAAAAAGTCTTTAGAGGTCAGGCCCAGGATGCCACCATTGTAAATAAAGCCAGTGTTAAGTATGACAAAGTGCACCCGTCACCTGTCTCCTCTTCACATAGATTGCCCGCCCTGAGCAAACAAACAGCCATCTTGAGGGTTCCCAAATTGGCCCAAATGAGCAGAGGGTTCCACAAGTTTCCTCAGTTCATCTTCTGGGCAAAAGGATAAATCCAGGCGGACAGAAGAGAAAGGAGCAGCTGTGAGGCAGAGGAGGAGGCCATAGCTGTAAGAATGGCTCCACACTATGGCCAGGCGGTGTAAGTGGCCTGACTTCTGGGACCAAGACTGTGGGGACCAAGGTCCATGCAAATGTCCCAAGAACCTGCTATCCCATGGGAGCTGCATTGTGACCTTGACGATTCCTGGCTAGGTGCTCTGCCTTGCTAACACCTGATAGCTTGCACAGGAGGAATCCTGATACAAGAAGTGAGAGGATCTCTTCTGCCTCAGGGAGAGTGGAATCTGGCCTGGGCCACACTGGTGAGCAGAGCAAGAAAAAAATGGAGCTTCTCAAGAAACAGGCCCCAGCTCTCACGCTCACAGTGTAAGGTGATATAGAGACCAGTTTTCCAAACACCATGCGGAAACTACACCTTGGGTCCAGGAAGGTAAAGCTTCCCAGGTGAGGGGGGTGATTCTTTTAAATCCAAGACAATGGTTACCAAGTGGAAAGAAACAACAGGCCCAGAGGCCAGTCTAGTGGGACAAATTAGAGAGTCAGGTGGCCTCCAGGACTGGCCTGGAGGAGGAGAAAAAAAGGTCTCCCCTGCACTGGCAAAGAAGGCCCAAAGACCAGTCTCCAGGAAGCTGCTCCACAGCAAGTAGACGAAGCCAGTCCCCAGGGCCTCCTCCCTGGCATCCAGAACTCAGGCCTTAAAGCCCCAAGAGAAAAGGGGTGTGAGGGTTAAGAATGGCTGAGTGCACTTCTGCTGAAGGCCCCAGACCCCAACCCCATCCCAGACTGTGGAGACCCATTCCTGTGGCCTGGCACCCTGTGTATGCTAACAGAGGAGCAAGTGTGCCCTTCTACCTCCAAGGGAGATGGGGATGGCCTATCTCACAGACTTTCTGGGGAGGGTGAGGTGCATGACAGACACACACCAAGTGGAAATCCACAGGCTACCTGAGAAGACATAATGGTAACAATGATCATGACTCATTCTGCAGAGGCAGCCCTCGGCAGCCCAGGCTGGAGACCGAGGGAGAGTCGAAGGAAGCCTGAGCGCCCTGTGAAAGGAGATGTGTACTCCAGAGGTCCCCTTCCAATTCAGCCAGGACATCCAAGAATAGAAACTTAGGCCGATTCACCCATCTTCGTAGATTCTCTCGTGCTCCCTGTCAGTGAGGAGGCTGACCCCCCTGGGAAGTTGCCACGTGCGCTGGCCGTGTTATAATGAAGCTGAGACGTGAACGCTCCTGGAGCAGGTGCTCCACTATGCGCCCAGGACGAGTCCTAAGTCTCCACGCATGTGTGGGGTTCACGGAGCCCCCAGGCAGAGGTCTAAGGGGCAGGCAGTGCCCAGCCTGGGCGGGGCACGGGTTACAAGGGCCCATACTTGGTCTCATACTTGGACACGATGGTCTTGCACTTGCCCACCTCCTTGCGTAGCTCTGCTACTTCCGTCCGGAGGGCTGTGTTCTCCTTCTCCAGGAAGGCTGCACGAATGGTGATCTGGTTTTCCTTCAGGCGTCTGGCATCCCGTGACCTTTTAGCTGCCACATTGTTCTTCTTGCGTCTCGTCCAGTATTTTTCATCCTGTGGGAGAGTAGCCTCTGTGGGTTTCATCTTCCCTGTTAGGGAATCCAATCTTTCCCTCCTGCCACCCAGATTCCCCTTATAATTCAGAGATGAAGCTAGAACTAAAGCTGGGACCCTGGGAAAGGAGCTACATGTGCCAAGAAACATTGAAGGGCACTGCCCTGTCCTCAGAGGGGCAGAATGAGAAACAAAGTCCTCAGGCAGCTGCATCATGGAGGGAAGGAGTCTCTATTTACCAGTCGTTTTGGAGTGCTGCTTTAGCATCAAGCATGTTTAGGCACATCATTTAGTGTTTTACAATAGTAAAAGGATGGTAACCTGGGTCCAGTCCCCTAAATTCAAATCTTGGCTCTGCAATTTTATTAGCAGTAAAACCATGCAAATGCCCAAACTTCTCAGTATCTCAGATCTACAAGGGGAATAACAATAGTAACTACCTCATAGAGTTGTTTGAGGATTAAATGAGTTAGTATGTACACAGTACTTATAACAATGCCTGGCCTAAAGGTGATGTTAATGTCCCAAGAACCAGTATTGTCACCATTATTATTAGTCTTAGAAACCTCTTCAAGAGGTAAGTACAGTTGTTTCCATTTTACAGATGAGGAATCTGAAGCACCCTGGGTACTAGGTAGTAAAGTGGGGCCTATGCCCAGGTCTGCCTGACTCCAAGCTCAGATGAAGAGTCCTTTCTCTCAGTTTTTCAGAGGAGAGGATGGAAAAACTGCTAAGTTCCCTCTTCCCATCAGTTCCTATGGAACCATCAGCTTGAGAGCTGCCTGGAAATGCCAACATATAAGCTGTCTTCTGTCCTTCAAATGGAGACTCCTTCAACTCCAGTTCCAGTGGAGTGAGCTTTTGCCCAATGGATGGGCTAAATCCAGAGAGGCAGGACACTGACACACCCAGAGGCAACAGAAATGAGAGACAACTACAGGGAGTCACTGGAGCCAAACACCACCTGACTACATTTCCTTCTACCAAATTGCTGCATGATGTGGTTCTATACACTGAACTCATGTGTCCCCAAGGAGGAAATGTTCTCCAGGTAAAATTTCATATGAGGAAACACAATTCCCAGTCCTGTCCCCCATCCCAGTCCCCCGCTCCAACATCCTTCATTTTTTTGTGTGGTGCTGATGATGGAATCCAGGGCCTGATACATGATAGGCAAGCACTCTACCACTGAGCTACACCCTCATCCCACCCCCAATTCCTGAACAACTGTTACACCTATACTTATAAAAGGACACCAGGTTACCTTCTGCTCATCAGGGACAAACACCTTCTTGGCCTTTTTGATCATGGGCTGGGGTTTCAGGTCTTCCTCGGCAAACTTATGCTTCCGAGGGTTGAAGAGCTCCCCACCTGGCACACTGGAGAGGACCAGGTCAGCAGGATCAGGGTTGAAGTTCACATCTACCTCCACACAGTTGGGGTCGATGGGACTGGGAGTCTCCCTCTCTTTTTCTAGGGAAGATTCTGAAAGACACAGAGGCAGGTGATCTGGAAGTAGCTCACTAGACAAGAGAGAGTAGTCTCTGTGTCACCCACCCAGACATCTGCTGGAATCTCAAGGCTGCACAAACTACTGCTACTTAGCAGGAAGAAGACCATGAAACCACAGCTCTTAAGTTAGGTGGGAGATGGGTGCATGTAGTACAATTCAAAAACATAAACAAGATTTTTTTTTTTTTTTTTTTTTTTGCTGTGCTGGGGATTAAACCAGAGTCTTGTTCATGCTAACTACACACTCTACCACTGAGCTATATCACAGTCCAAGAATTCCTCCCTTTAGAAACAGAATGCTCTAAAGGAAACAGAGGCTCTCAAAATACACAGGATTTTTCAATTGTTTTTTCCTCTCAAGATATATTAAGCAAAACATTAAATCATTATACCCATTTCCTGTGTCTCAAGTAATGAGAAACAGCTGAATTTCTCTGTGAATTACAATGGGCCAAGGACATGGACATGGGTTCCACTTTTGAGTCCCTGAGACACATTTGTCACTATGCTCGTCATACAACTCTGAAAGAAAAATGACTGTTAACTTGATAGACGAGGATACTAAGGCTCGGGAAATTCAAAGATTTCTCTGGATCACACAGATTAATGACTGAACTAAAATCTGAATCTTGGCCTGGAAGACTCTGATTGCTTGTTCTTCCCTGCCCCATCTGGCTGCCACTTTATAGTGAACATTGGATTAGAGTCAATTTTAGAGTTCAAAGGTTGTGTATTACTAGAGATAAGTGTTATATTTTTAAAAACAAACTAAACCTTTGGCCTATTTGTTCAATGCTACTGATAGGAGTGCACAATATATTCAGTCAACAGATATTTAATGAACACAAACTATATGCCAGGTACTGTCAGGTATTGTCTTTTTTTTGGTACTGAGGATTGAACCCAGGGTGCTTAACCACTGAGCCACATCAAGCCCCTGCTTTAAAACAAAACAAACCCCACCCCCCCCCAAAAAAAAAACTTGTCAATGGATATTTATTTATTTATTTGCAGTGCTGAGGATCAAATTCAGAGCCTCACATGTGCCAGGCAAGTGCTCTACCACTGAGCCACAATTCCAGCCCCCCAGCCCTTTTTTATATTTTATTTAGAAACAGGGTCTTGCTAAGTTGCTTACTGCCTCACTAAGTTGCTGAGGCTGGCTTTGAACTCATCATCCTGCCTCAGCCTCCCATGCTGCTGGGATTACAGGCATGCACCACTGTGTGTGGTTCAGGTACTGTCTTACAATGACAAAACAGTACAACTGGTAAAAAATCTCTGTTTCATGGAATATTATTCTAGTGGGAATGACTGACATTATACAATTTATTTTTTTAAGTACTGAGGATCAAACTCAGTGCCTCACACATGCTAGGCAAAAGATATACCACTGAACTACATTCCCTTTCCTTTTTTAAAAAAAGTTTATGTTGAGATAGTGTCTCATTAAGTTGTCTAGGCTGGCCTCAAACTAGAGATCCTCCTACCTCAGCCTTCCAGGTAACTGGGATTCCTGGCATACACTACCATGCCTGGCTACACAAGATGACATTTTAAAACATGCATAAAAATGTGAGAATAATGTAGACATTTGGGAGAATATTTCAGAAAGCATGAATATCAAATGCAAAGACCCTGAGGTAGGTGCTGGGTGATATGTTCAAAAAATGAATGGCAGGGATGATGATATAGCTAGAGTGAATAAAAGAGTAATAAGATGGATATGAAACATGGATATGATTAAAGGTAAACATATGTTTAATTCCAATAAAATCAGAGTTTTCAAGAGGGGGTGGGTTTGCCCTACAAGGGACATGTGGCCATGTCATGACTGGAAGGGTGCTACTGGCATCTAGTGAGCAGAAGCCAGGGAGGCAGCTACATGTCCAACAGTGCAAAGGATATAAAAATTAAAATCTAAGTTCCGACTCCAATCCCAACAACCACAAAACATTTTGTGGTCTAAGTGTCAATGGTGCCGATTTTGACTTTTCTCTTGAGATGGGAAGCCACTAGAGAGTTCGGAACAAAGAGAGGCATGACATGATTACACACATCAACTCACTGTATCCTGCTAGACTAGGTGAAATACCAAGAGGTCCGAGCAACAGAGGAGTGAATAAGCAGGGACCTCTTGGTAACTTGGGAATACAGGGGCATGCCAAACTCCATACTTGCAAGACAGTCAAGGTATCCACTAAACGAAATTGCTATTCAAAGTGACACCATGTGTGCAGGCCTTTCAGCAGCAAGCAAATGCTGAGGTGTGTTTAAGTCTCAAGGACAAGACAGGAGAGAGTTTCAGTAAACAAAAGAGGACACTTTCCAAAAAGTGCATAAAAATAAGGCTTGGGGGCAAGAATTTTGAGGAATTCCCTTTTCCCTGTGGATAGCTCTATTGACCAAATTCTAGCAAGTTACTTAACATGACTTCCATAGCAGGAACTTAAGAAGAGAGAAAGGTAACAGTTCTGTTGTTAATTTGACTGAAACAGTATTTTTGGAGATCTGTCAATATAAGGTTTTCAAAATTAAAATCAGGTCTGGGGTTGTAGCTCAGTGGTAGAGCACTTGCCTCGCACACGTGAGGCATGACATGATTACACACATCACGTGTGCGAGGCACTGGGTTCAATCCTCAGCACCACATAAAAAAACAAATAAAATAAAGTTATTAAAAAAAAGGTACTATGTTAAATTTTTTTTTCTAAATTAAAATCAAAGACTGATAACTAGAACTCCCATATACTAATGGATACAACCACTGTGTACACTTTAACAGTGTCTGCTTTTGTGTATGGCATCTTTCACTCAACTTTGTGAAGATCATTCATCACGTTGCTCATGACAATCATTTAATTTTCAATGCTGAGGAATACTCTATTACCTGACCACACCAGTTTATCCATTCTACAGCTGAAAAGCATCTACAGAGTTTCCTAGTTTGGAAAATCTGAACACAATGGATTTATTGTCAATTTCAGCTATAAAACTGGTATTTTAAGCCAGGTACAATGGTGCATGCCTGTAATCCTAGCAACTTAGGAAGCTGAAGCAGGAGGATTGCAAGTTCAAAGCCAGCCTCAGCAACTTAGTGAGACCCTGTCTCAAAAGTAAAAACACAAACATTAACAAGCAAAAACACCTGTTATTTAAAAAAAAAGTTTTTAAAAAGAACTCATACCTTTACAAGGGGGGGGGGCAGTGGCACACACCTGTAAACCCAGCCCCTCTAAAGGCTGAGGCAGGAGGATTTCAAGTTCAAAGCCAGCCTCAACAACTGAGTGAGACTCTGTCTCTAAAGAAAACATAAAAAAGGGCTGGGGATGTGGCTCAGTGGTTATGCACACCAGGGCTCAATCCCCAGTACCAAAACAAAAAACAAAAACCAAAAAAACCCACAAAAAATTAAAAAAAAAAAACCCTCATACTTTAAATACACATCAAAATATTTATAGATGAAATGATAAAATAGCTAGGATTTGATTGGAAACACCTGGTTATTAATTAACAACTGAAGTTGGGAGTTGGCTATATGGAAGGTCATTATTATTGTTATTATTATTTAGTTGTAGTTGAACACAATACCTTTATTTCATTTATTTATTTTTATGTGGTGCTGAGGATCGAACTCAGGGTCTCACATGCAAGGCGATAGCTCTACTGCTGAGCCACAACCCCAGACTGGAAGGTCATTAATTATTATAGTCTCTTGCTATTTTGTTTTTTGGTGCTAGGGATTAATCCAGGGCTTTGCATGTGCTAAGCACATGCTCTATCACTGAGCCACAACCTCAGCCCCTTATGTTTGTTATTTTATTTGAAAAATTTTCTATACTAAACATAAATTTAAAAAAATAAGGGGCTGGGGATGTGGCTCAAGCGGTAGCGCGCTCGCCTGGCATGCGTGCGGCCCGGGTTCGATCCTCAGCACCACATACAAACAAAGATGTTGTGTCCGCTGAGAACTAAAAAATAAATATTAAAAAAAAGAAAAACATTAAATAAAAAAATAAGAGCATGAGAATTTCCTGGGTGTAGGTTCCCTGGGTGACAAATCAGGACATATCAGCTTGTATAACCTCTAATTGAGCCTGTAGAAAGCTCTGCAGAGCCCACTGAGACAGGAGTTTGTCTCCCCTGGTAGGTTAATGTCCAAGGGTCATAAAAACAAACCCCTACAGGCAAAACAGAACAATGAGAGGATGAAGGACATATTCTGAAGATGTTTTACAGGTGTAAGGAATGCCTTCTTTAGACCAGTGCCACCTAAGCAGTACCTGCCTATAGAGACATATATCCTACGCTCAAGTGCTGCCTCCACTACCTACCAAGTATGTGACCTGGGAAAGGCACTTCTCTATATGAAGGGGCTTCACAGGTTAGTTTCCTCACCTGCAGAACAGGAATAATAGTACTAATTTCATATGGTTCTTTTGATGATTTTTGATGTATTACTGTCTGACACAGAATAAAGCAAAATAAATGCTAGCACTTACAATGATAATTATGATGACAACAATGGCATTAATGATACTGCCTAAATGTTCTGTTGCAAAATGCAGGTAATTGGGATAAAACAGCAGCATCAAGGATACACAGAACAGGATTTTCCTCCTGCAAAGCTTCACACCTGAAAGGCTGACTTCACTGTCCTGATCATTTGCAGCACATCAACCAATAGAAGACCTCTGACTGCTGCTGGTGTGACTACTATTGTATCTCCAGCCTCGGGGAACACAGCTGGAAGGTGGGGATCAGAGGGTTCCTCCACACTGCGCCTACCAGGATCTCCTTTCAGAGGAGTGGCTCACTGGGTGTGTGGACATAGTCATCCTAAGTGGGAAGTGGACTCCTTAGATGGGACAGGTGGCCCTGCCCAAAGGCCTGTCACCAACCTGTGCTGGATACGGTTTCAGAGGGTTGAAAGATGGCAGTGGAGGAGGATGGCGGGGATGCTGTGGAAGAGCTGGCGGACTCTTTTCCTTCTAGCTCGGCCACAGGAAGCAACAGGTTCTGGGCCAGTTGAGTAGGGCTGGCAGGGATGCCATTCTCCAGCAGGAACTCATCCAGGTCCATGTACTCCAGGTGGAAAGACTCGCCGTCGTAGGGGATGGTCTTGTCCCAGATAGGTGGCATGAGGGAGGCTGAGACAGCCATGGTACTGGCTGCTGCCACCTCGTCCTCCTCCAGCTTTTCCTTCCCCTTTTCCTTATCTGCAAACAAAATTTGTGATGAGACACCACACAAGAGGGAAACTCGGTCCCAGTAGGTGGGCTGTGAGCCTCAGGACAGATCCATCTTTCTCCAGTCTGATTCCATCCCATGCATTTCAAGGGCCCAACCTGTGTTCCAGCTACAATCTGGTGCTTCAATCAGTGGCTAGTCTCCTTTAGAGATGGCATCACACCTCCTTCTGTGCCTGGCCTTTCTGGAATGCTAGCCACATGCTCTGAGGCCTGATGTGAACCAAGGGTTAATGCAGAATAGGCTGTGGGAACGGCACCTGCTGGAGAGAAACTTTGAGGAAGGGTATAATTTTTTGCCTTTTTCTGATTTTTTTTTTTTTTTGTGTGTGTGTGTGTGTATGGAAAAGGCTGAGGTCCTCAGGCCAAGAACTTTTGTGTTCTACTGTCCTGCCTCCTTAAGTCTGCTTCTCCTTAGCAACTCAGGGCTGCCGCTCATTAGCTATGTGATATATGACCTTGGCCATGTTACTCGGTATCTTCCACTGTAAATAAGGATAAAGCAGCCTCTTTGGTGAAGATTAAACATTTGAAAATATCGGTATAAAGTCCAGGCAAACAGCAGGTGCTCACTACTACTGTGAACTCACTGAAAGCAGGGGTTATGTATGGTTCAGTTCTGGATGACAGGGTCCAACAAAGAGGTAGACAGACAGTGGCTGTCTACCCCACAGACAGAAGAAATCAAATACCAAAGGAAGATGCGTATACTGAATGAAGAATACTGAATTTACAAACAGAATTCACTTTAGGTTTACTGAATTGAGAGAATCTGGAGCTGTCTTTTCAGGACCTTTTTCAGAGCAACCATTTCAAGAGACCTTTATTCCAGAATAAACAGAAAAGACTAAGGGCAGGTTTTCTGGGAGAAAGGAGAAGCATGGAGCTGAAGATGATACTGCTCCTATGAAAAACAAAACTAATCAGTTAGTAAGGACCAGATTCCACCTAATTATCTTAGTGAAAAAGTTATAAATGGGGATATCCAAAAGAGAGCAATTAAGAAAAAAAAAGACAAGAGAAAAATGTGACAAGACTGAAAGGAAATCAAAGTGACAGAGAGGCTAATCAGTGAAGTGGGAGAAAAAATCATGACAAGTTCATAATGGGTTTTCAAAATTGAGAGAGACAACTTTGAACTCTGGATTTAGAAGTGAAAAGGAGAAATCAAATACCATTATGTTGGAAATGTAAACCAGTCATGCATGGACTCCTAGACCACAATCAGCCAAAAAGCAGCCTGTTGGTCCAATAAAAATGGACACACCTAGTGAGTTAAGAAGATGGAGTTTTTAGCAAACATAATTTGGTCATGGCTTCTAATATGACTTAGTCTGAATTCCTGAAACTGTATTCTATACCAGGACTTGGTTTACAACTAACTGGGAAGTAAAAAGCCCATGGCTTCTGGGTTGGGTGGGCCAGATGACCTTCTTGCTCTTCTCCCTTGAGATCCTGACACCATATTCTACACAGAAATGACTTCTGTTGGGTGGGGACTTAGGATCAATGGAAGCAGGAGAAGGGAGAAGATTAAAAAAAAAAGCAGCTGTACTAAAGGACAAGCAACAGTAGGTTCCAGGTTTTGCCTAGTCTAAATATTGGAGAGTATTTTAAGTCAATACTTTTTAAAAATTGGTTTTAATTTTAAGAGGATTTGTTCATCACTCAAATAGGTGACAGTATTGACACCAGTGATTGTGTTCATTATAGTATAAAGAACAAACTGAGAGCCATAAAGCCTTGAGAAAGCATCCCTACCTTTCTGTACCTCAACTTTCCTCAACTGCAAAGTGAGGGTAATACTCTACAGGGCTGTGATGGAAGTCTACATGAAGTAAGATCATGTCAAACTGATCTGTGAACACTCTGAATTACTGTTATGGATGGTTATTATCTGGTAATCTTAAACAAGAACCTGCCAGATGTGAACACCTGTCCTTGAAGTTTGTCTCAGTCCCAAGATTTGGAACAAAGCATCATCTTGAAAACAAACAGAAAGGTCTGCACAGGAGGTCCGGAAGCAGGAGAAAGCCTGGCTTCACCTGATGTGCTAAAGCTATTTATAACCCAACAGTGACAGCCATAGGAAAGGGAGCCTCAGAACTCATCCAGGAAAGGAAGAGAAATGGCATTTTTAAAAAGAAAATTAATTACTCAGGTCTGACAATTTTCAAAAGGCCCATCCCTTCCCAAATCCCTGAATTACACTGATGGGTCAATGTAACAATCTAAAGGTCTCAGAATGAAAGTAGACCTTAAAGCACCTAAACCCCACTATAAGTAGCACTCCTGCTGTTGCCTGAAATTCATCTCCCAGGCCAAAAACCAGGGCCAACCCTGCTTTTCACAAAGGCCCCTGGGACATGGGCAATAAGATGAAACTCAGTCCTGCTATTTGTGGTTCCAAAGCCTATTGTCGCCCAAACCAACCAGGTGAAGGATCTCACTGGCCTCATTTTGACTCTCATTCCACCCTTGCCTCGCCCAAACCTGCCCCGCTAGAAGGTGCCCTATGGCTGGCCCCACACAACTCCCCTACCTGCACCTCAGCAGCAGCCCATAGATACCTATTAGAGGATTTAATAGCTGGAATACTCACCCCCTGGAAGGAAGACTTGTTCTCCCCCAGAAAGGGACAAGGCCATATGCACAGACAATCTGCTCAGCAGACCAATGTTCTTCAAACTTTGGTGGACTATGAAACCACAGAGGTTTGGAGGGGTGCTCCCTAAAATGCAGAGTCCTATCCAGGATCCGCAAACTGGGTGGGGCCCAGGAACCGGCATTTTAGGCCAGCGTTCCGGGTATTCTGATGCAGGCGGCCCCAGGGGAGGCGCCCTGGAGCGCCATGTAAGTGGCTGCTCCGGTCCCCCTCAGGCTCCTCTGTAACCCCTACACAAACTCCACTTCACGCCCCCATCCCCTCTCTTCAGACCCTTCTCCGCTAAGCCCCACCCGTCCCAGCCTCTCCGCTTCGCCCTCTGTCTTCCTCTCCCAATCTTCGGCCTCGTCTTGCAGGCCCCTCGTCATCCCGGGGCCCCATCCCCCTCCGCTGGACCACTTCACCCCGACCTCCGATTTCTCCAGCCCCGCCCTCACGAGGCCCCGCCCCTGCAGGAACCCCGCCCCCAGGCACGCGCGGATGCCCCCCCTCACCGAGGCGCGCCTCGCGCGGGGGGTTCTCCATCAGCTTCTTCAGGACCAGAGGGAAGGAGCCCGGCAGGCCCCGTTCCCCAGCTGCGCGCCCCGGGCCCGGTCCCGCCTGCGGCTCCACAGGCGGCTTCTTCCCGCCGCCCGTGTCGGACATCGTGCCCTGCGCCCTGCTCGCGCGCCTCACCTCCCCCGTCCGCCCGCCCCACGAGATGGGCCGGAGCCGCGCGACCCGCCGCAGCTGCCGACACGGGCGGCTCCTGCGCAGGCGCGCCGCCGCACCCCCGCCTCCCTCATCCGCGCCCCGCCCGCGGACAGGCCCGGGCTGCATTTATTATTCATGAGTCCAGGCCAGCGGTCCCGGTCGGCAGCTTTGGATTGGTGCGTTCCGCGAGGGGGTGGGCGCGGCCTCGCGGGCCGGGATTGGCCGGGAGGCTAGGGCTAGCGAGACACGTGCGGGGCCAGGTGAGGTGCGCCAGCCTGCTCGCGGTCCCTGGCTGGGCCCTGCTGGAGTCTGTTTTGTAGGCCTTCCACGGCGGCCGCCCGTTCCCCAGTGCGTTCTTCGCTCCCAGTCTTCGTAACCTTCGCCCTTCTCCCAAGCCACCGCATAGTCTTTTCCCTCTCATCCCACTTTCGCAACCTCCCCGACGCACCACAGGAGGCAGGCGGGGCTGGAAGAGCAAGGCCGGCCTGTGGGTCACGTGGAGCCGCAGCCGAGCCAGGCCGGCACAGACCAGCCAATGGGGGGTGGAGGGCGGGGCCGGCGTTGGTGCACGAGGCGCCGCACGTGCGGTATGCGGCGGGGAGGGGCGGAGGCGCTGGGCGGGCCTTAATGTTCCGGGGACTCTGCCCTGGGTCGTGGGACAGGGACGCAAAGCCCGGCCAGCACTCCTCCTCCCACGCGACCCAGAGGTTGGCAGAGGGCAGGCAGCCTGCGGGTCCCGGGTCCGGGCGGTAAGGTCGGCTGGAGCAGGCTTGGCAGCCGCTGAAACTGGCATCGGATTGCCCACTGATCCTGGCTTCTGGAGCGGGCGTGGCTGCCAGATAAACACTAGCGTGGAGGGAGCGTTCGTGAGGCCCAGTCCAGAGCCAGGGCTCGGGTCACGCTTCCATCCTCCCCCCACTAGCTTGTGACCTTGGGAAAGTCCAGTGGCTCCACTTGAGCCTGTTTCCTCAACCATGAAATTAGGAGGTCGGGCTAGAGTATCCACAGACCCAAACAGCTCTGAATTCTCCTCTTTCCAAGATTGCCCCGACCTTTTTCGTAAATTTAAAAAAAAAAAAAAAATCTTTACACAGGTATTGATCCCATCCCACATTTTGTGGCTGAACCACCCGCTCTTAAAATATAAACACTCCCTGGGATTTCCTCAGGAACCGTGTGAAACGCACGGATGTAAAGCCCTTACAGGAAGCTGCTCCTAGGGAGCCCTCAGAACTTTGTACCTCCGTAGTTACAAATCATACTCTGCTTCAAACCCAAACAATACTAGACTTTCCCAGTTTAAACACCCAGAGGGGGCAGGGACTTTGACTTGTTGTCCTGTGTCCCTTCAAGGGATCCAGGCTTCCCGTGGGAGGGGCTGGGGAACAGCAGAAAGGTAGTCCTTGGTTCCTGGGGTAGACGCAGGAATGCAGCACAGCTGGCTAAAAGTTGATGGAATCAGAATTTCCCTGGGAGTTGAGGGGGAAAAAAAAGTTGAGTAGCTGAGCAGGCCTAGAAAGAAAGCAAGAAATTTGGAGGACTTGGTAGTGGTAGGGACAGGATGACTGGAGTTCGACTCCAAAACTCAGGTTCTTATAGTAATACTAATTAGACTTAGATCACTTTCTGAATATGATGCCTCCAGTTGGTTGTGTCACCTTTCTGGACTCCTGTATAAGGAATAAAAACCTAAATGGAGTAAGGATAGGATCTACATTAGAGTGTTTCCATGGGCCAATATGTAATTGTACAGTTGCAAGCTTGCAACAAATGATAGTTAAAATTTTGCTAAAACTGATGGGTATAGATCCACTGTGGAAATAGTATTGTGTTTAGAAAAACCTGTGTGTTGTAAAATTGTTGTTAGCAGGACTTCTCAATATGGCTAAACTCTTTAGGAGAAACTGACCTAGAGCTCTTTCGAAACAAACTTCAAAGGGCCAAGTGCTCCTGAATTCAATCCCCAGTACCCCCAAATAAAACAAGAATCCACTGCTTGTCTTTACATTTGTCAGTAGTGTGGGAATAACTCTGGTTTTGCGCCTTCTATTAGTGGAGAAATGAAGCCAATTTCTATAGTGTTTGTGAGCCCTATGAAGAAAAGAAACTCCATAAAAAGAACATCATTACCTACTTAGGACTTTCAAGGAATGAAGTGGTACCTTCTGTAGCAATAGATTCTCAGGAAGTACAGGTCCTGGGGTAATGGTGATACTGGTGTTTTGGGAGGCAGGCCTGAGGAATGACTCCCCTCACCCACTGAGTAGCCATGTGGCCTTGGGCAGATGATTTCAATGTCTCAGTTATTTTCCTCTTGGAAACAGATGGAAATGCTCCCTCATAAGGCGGCTATGAGGATTATCTGTGATAGACAATGTCAAATGCCCAACTAGAACAGTAATAAATAGGATGGAGTGTGTGGGCACCCACTCTTGCCTTCAGGTTGTGTTGGGTTATAATTTTGGGTGTGACAACCAAAGGTTTGATTATAGAATCTAAGTTAGAGCCAAAACAGGATGAGAAAATGTCTTGCTTTCCAGATTTTAACTGGATTTGAATTCTGTTCTTCATTGTGCAGAAACCTGCTAACCAACCCAACCTGAGCTCTAACAAAGCCCAGCCATCTGTGGTCCTTGCTAGTACCAAAAGCAGGCAAGCACACTATTGTTCAGGGTAGTAGCAGTAAATATTTCTTGGCTTGCTTGCTGTGGTTGGTGCTGGTAGGAGGGTTAACAAAACCTTTCAGAGCCAAGTTCCATACATTTGGAGCGTTATTAATGTTAAACAACAGTCACTGTGATTCACAGTGGAACCTGGAATAACAAATGTGAGCCATCTTTCCGTAAGTCCTCCAGCACCATCCTCACCAGCAGCTCTTTCTGGCCTGCATACCTATGGTTGCGTAACTCTGGGCTCTAAGGTGCATATGCCTTAGGTCTCACTGTGTTCTAGGGGAGAAGTGGTGGGTGGAGGCTCTTTTAAAATTCTTGCCCATCTCTTCCAGACACTCAAGAGGATTTGTTTCCTGTTTGGCTTGCTTTTTGTGCACTCCCAGGGTTCAGATTACACAAGGAATTGCCGTAGGAGTGCTCTTTCCAGAGAGAAGCCCTTACCTCCAGCCTCTGCTACCTCTCAACAGCCACCACCTGACAGCCCTGGTTTCTCCAGCCAAAGCTGTTGGTGGTACAGTGGTAGGGTGCATGCTTCAGAGCCTGACCACCTGTTCTGATTCCTACTTCAGTTATTTCCTGTGTGATCTTGGGCATCATACTTGACCTTTCTGTGCCTAAGCGTAAGAAATAAAGTAGTCAGTAGGCACTATGCTGAGGTCATTCTTTCAGCAACCTAGCATTGGGTCCGATCCAATGCAAAGTCACCTGAAAGAGGGCAGTGATTGACACTGCCATCAGTGCATGGTGCATAAGCAAATGGTCAGTTAAAGTTAACTTGTACCATAATTCCATCTTGGGTTGTTCTGGGGATACTGCATGCCTCCCACCAGCCACTTCTCCAGGAATAAGTGAGGGTGAGTGGGCTCTTAGACACAGGGACTTCTCAGTCTCACTTTAGGACCTTAAAGGCTTTGTAGGCTCTCACCTTCTGAGTCTCTCCAACCCCATCTCATCTTCTCTCCCTCTTGCTCTTCTTCCCCTTTTATTCCTTAGTCAATTTAGTCTTTCTTGACCCAGGAAAGAACCTTTGCAGATGATGTTCCTCCAGACTGAAAGTTCCTTATGTAGCAGGCTCTTTCTTCCCCTCCAGGCCTTAGCCTAAATGTCCCTCCTCACAGAGCCTCCCCCCGCCCCCGCACACTGCACCCCAGTTGCTATCTCTTGACTGTCTCTCCCCAATAGATTGCAAACACCATTGAGCCAGTACAGTGTTCATCTCATTCACACCTGAGCCACAAGTGAAGCAAATGCTCAAAAAGCAAATGATGAATGATTGAATGACCAGGAAGTTCCGCCCAGAGACATGGTTTTAGAGACCAGGGAGTCCTATAGGTAGACGTGAACCTGGAAGGGGGAGGAACTGGACTTGACCACCTTGACAACTGTGTGACCTTCCCATCTCCAAACATCCATCTCTTCACCCATAGAATGAAGAATCAAACACAGTCTCTTGCACAGAGAGTGACGGAAGTGTGTAGCACAATTCCTGGCACATGACTGACAGGTCATTCTTTCAGCAACCTAGCACTGGGTCCGGTCCAATGCAAAGTCACCTGGAAGCGGCAGTGATTGACACTGCCATCAGTGTCTGGAGCTTGGTGAAGAGTAGTTTCTCACATTTTTGATTGGTGAGGGGGAATAGGCAGAAGAAAGGGTTTAAGGTAAGAGGGAAGAAAAGAGGCGGGCCCCCTGGGCGAGGAGTGAAGCTTAGTGGTGGTAGAAAGCTTGCTTAGCATGCATGAGGCCCGGCTGGGTTCCATCCCTAGCACTGAAAGAGGAAAAAAAAAAAAAAAAAAAAAAAGGCTAGTCTACTTACTGGCCTAAAGGTGGCCAATCTCTCTCAGTTAATTTTCAGAATAGGAAAATACACTTTTTAGAAGGTTGAAGTGAGTATTAAATGAGTCAACACATCTAGCACACAGAAGATCCCATCCCATTTCCTTCTCCCTGGAAGCAAACTCCACACATTTTCAGTTTTGCCCTGGTTCCCCCAGGATGTAGAGGTCCCCAGATGGACTGCTACTAAGGCCAAGCTCAGGGCTGCCTGGGCCATACTGAGTCCACCCTTAGTCCATTTACTTCATCCGCCCAGAGGATCATACCAAGGTCCCCTCCCTTGCACTCTGCCTCTGTCCCAGCAAGTCCCCTTGTTACTATGCCTGTTATCCACATCTGGGCTGTCCTATTTGGTGCAGGGCCAATGGCACCATGTCCTGGGAGCCTCAGCATGCATTTCCAAGGAGACAGCCCTGTGTATGTGCACAAAGTTGTAACATTCAACTCTTCAAAGGAAGGTGGAAGAAGGGTGGGAGGGTAAGATTGCAAATGTGATGCAGGTAGAAGGAACGTGCCAGGCCAAGCTGCTTTT